AGCACTTGTAATCAGTCAAAATTATTGTATTCTAACATATTCTAAACCCAAACATCACTAGATAAGTCATTTAGTGGTTCAACGCAATGTTTCCGAGTTCTTAGCCCATTTGGGACCAAATATCAACAAGTCTTTCTCCACACTTCTAAACACTCTTCATGCATCTCTAGCACTTATAATCACTCAAATTTATTGTATTCTAATATATTCTAACCCCCAAAAACACTAGACAAGCCATTTAATGCTTCAAAGCAAGTTTTGGGGGTTGTTGGACCATTTCTGACCAAATTTCAGCAAGTTTTTCTCCTCACTTCTAAACACTCTTCATGCAACTCTATCACTTGCAATCAATCAAAATTATTCTATTCTAATATATTCTAACCCCAAAAAGCACTAGAGAAGCCATTTAATTCTTCAAAGCAATATTTGTGGGTTCTTAGCCCATTTCGTACCAAATTTAAACAAGTATTTCTACGCTCTTCTAAACACTCTTCATGCATCTCTAGCACTTGTAATCAGTCAAATTCATTTGATTCTAACATATTCTAACCTCAAACAACACTAGACAAGCCATTTAGTGGTTCAACGCAATGTTTCCGAGTTCTTAGCCCGGTTGGGACTAAATTTTAACAAGTCTTTCTCCACACTTCTAAACACTTTTCATGCATCTCTAGCACTTGTAATCAATCAAATTCATTTTATTCTAACATATTATAACCCTAAATAACACTAGACATACCATTTAATTGGGGGTGATCTTCTTTTGGATAATGGCACTGCATTTTGACTCAATATCACCATGCCTTGTACTTCTTTTGCTCTCTCCATAACCAAATCTTTGAGGAACTTCTGATAAGGAGGGACAAGTGCGAATGCATCCAGCAATGGCATTCTCAACTCAATCTCTCTCAATTGCTTTTCAAATAAAGCCTTATACTTCTCAGCTTGCTGCTTCTTGAATCGTCCTGGAAATGGAAGAGGTGGTTTGTATGATGGGGGAACGTATCTCGTAGGTTTATCCTTGGAAACTGCAGGTGTTTCAGCATGTTTCTCAGCAGGTTGAGGAGCTTCTTCAGGTACGACTTCTTATTCTTCCAAAGGGACAACCGGATCTTCATTCTGACATACATCCTCCCCTTCCAAGTCTTCACTTTCCTCAGTTACTACAATAGGTCCTTGTCTGGGAGGTAAGTTTTTACCGCTCCTCAGTGTGATGGCATGAGAAAACTCCTTAGGATTCTGAACAGCTTTTCCTGGGAGTTGGCCGGGCTTTGGGGCCGAAGTAGAAGCAGTTTTGCCCTCCATATACTTGATCTTGGAATTCAGAGTCTCCATCTTCATGTTCAGATCATTGTATGAGCAGTCCCATCTGTGAGTCAGCTCAGCAAAATTCTTAGCATTTTCAATGGAGCCACTTGCTTGTCCCTGTAGGAGTTGCTGAAGCATGTTTTTCATGTCATGGTCTGGTGCCTGAGGAGGCGGAGTGCGTTGAGGTTGGAATCATTGTGGTGGTTCTGCTGGAGGTTGGTAACCTTGCTGAAATTGTTGTTTGGGCGTATAACCTTGGTTGTAGGGCACAAATGGTTTGTTCTGCCCCTGCTGCTGCTGTTGTGGAGGTGGATAAACCTGATCCTGGGGATTTGCAACATTGGTGCTCCTATAAGACAGATTGGGATTCTGCTTATAAGGGTTGTATCCCTTGTTGTAGCCACCTTGGTTCTGGACATAACTTATCTCCTCAGATTGTTCTCCCTCCCCATCTAGAATCTGGTAAGGGTCGTCTTCAGAGACGAAATGAATGTTCCTCTGCTGGCTCATCAAGAGTTTTTCCACCTTATCATTCACAGCTTTCATCTCCTTCTTGTACATCTCATCAAGATCTGTGCTTACCCTGATGGTTCTATTGTAGTCTTCATTGTAATTGTCATCGGATTGGGATAGATTCTCAACAAGCTCCCAACCATCGTCGACGTCCTTGTTCAGAAAGTTGCCATAGTTGGTAGTGTCAAGCAACATCCGGATCTTTGGGAGAACACCCCGATAAAGAGTACTGAGGAGAGACTCCTTGGTGAAGCCATGGTGGGGCCACTGAGACTGATAACTTTTGAAGCGTTCCCAGGCTTCACAAAGCTTTTCTCCATTGTTCTGAGTGAACCCAGAGATCTCGTTGCGCAGACGTGCAGTTCTGGAGTTTGAGACAAACTTGGCAAGAAACGATTGCTTGCATTGATCCCAGGAAGTGATAGATCCTGGAGGAAGAGTTTTCTCCGATTGATGAGCTTTGTCACCCAGAGAGAATGGAAAGAGACGCAGCTTGAAACTGTCCTCATTGACCCCATTTATCTTGGTGAGACTGTAGAGACGATCAAACTCATCGAGGTGATCCAGGGGGTCTTCCATAGGCAGACCAAGAAATTTATTCTGCTGAACCATGGAGATCAGACCACTCTTGATCTCAAAGTTGTTGTTCTCCATGGCTGGAGGCACTATACCCTTACAATGGGTATGGTTGCGTGGGGCATCACCAGCTCCAATCCGTGTAGGTGCCCGTGGTGGAGGTGGTGGTTGAATGTTTTCCATCTCCACTTGGGGTGGTGTAACTCTGTTACGTTGCTGTCGTGATGCAGGTACCAAGCGATCAATATGGTCGGAGGGCTGGAACAAGTTCTCTGTGCCTTGCAACCGTGTGTGCATACAAATCAAATCAGCTTAGCTCGCGAGACGGTTGAGTGTGTTAGTCAAGTAGGAGCAGTTGAGCAAGAGTTGTACCTGAATCAAGAGAGAAATAGAAGGAACAAAGTGAGTAACCGTAGTGAATGTTGAGTAAAAACTTGATCTTAGCAAGTTTAAAATCTCAAATGTAACAAACAAACACCCAAATGGCAGCGTCGCCAAATTGATACTAGGATTTTTCTATCAATTACCCTAGAGTACTATCATGTCATTGCAGTACAATAGGTATCAATCCAATCAGGTGTGATGCTAACAATCAAGATATATCAGAAATGACTAAGTCAAGCAAGCATAAATGATTTTTGGTTTTAAGTGATCCTAAGCGAACATGTTAAACATGCGATAAATGTAAGGCTGTAAAACATAGACTACCATGCATAAGCTAAAACGTGATGATTATTGATCCTGGCAAGAAAACAAAGCAGAACAAGTAAATAACGAGAAAATTAAACAGAAAGCACAAATTGATAGAAGTTCCTGAGGATGAGGTTATTGATGTAGGTGAAGTATGCTAATCTACTTCGAGTGTTTATCAAACTGCAAACATACTAATCCCTAGACAATGAACTTCTAATACTAGTCAATCCAATCTCTTGGTAGAAACTATCAAGTTTACAACACTTCCTAATCTAAATTCTCATTGATGAAACATGTAGTAAACAGGCATAAAGAAACATCTCATTAATGTCAATAAACATCTTAGACAACCAATCTCTTGGGCTAAGCATGTAAATCTCTGGCACTAGTTGGTTCAGACATTTCATCATATACCTTTCGGGCATGAAATGTCTAAGACCTAGTTCCAATTGATCAAAGAAGAACTAGCCAATAAAACTCTAATCCAGAAGGGAAACAAATCGAATCTAACATAAACATTCTAGCAAACTAACATCTTCCACGTAATCTATTCCATCCTCAAGAACCCTAACACTACTCGGATGCAGAAATCATGTTAAACATCATGAAACCAGAAACGTTCAAAACATGCATAATAATAAAGATGACAGTAAGATAAACAACAATGATCAAAGAACTAAGTGCGAAATCAAAATAACTTCAAAGAAATCTAAATTACAATTGTCTAGATTATTTGGTTGCTAACAACAAAAACCTAATGTAAGAACTCGATCCCCCGGGCATCCAAATGAGACCTATTTATAACAATGTTTGAGAAAACCTTAAAACATAAAACGACAACGTAAAAGCGGTTTAAAAGTTGTTGTGACTAAGTTGGTCGAGTGAGCATCTCGAGTGAGCATCTTCTCTGCTTTGCTCGATCGTGTCACTCGAGTGTGCACGTCGAGTGACGGTTGTTTCGCATTCCTCGGTTCACTCGATCATCCTACTCGATCAACCGCTCGATCCGCTACTCGATCACGTCTGTCGAGTGAATTATGTTTCTGCAACGCATCCCTGCTTCTCACTCGATCGTCCCACTCGATCGTATGCATGTCGAGTAACGCTTGTTCCTCTACTTCGTCCTGCATGTCTCCTAAGTACCTGAAACACTCCAAATATGCAAAATGTATGCAAGACATGCATGATATGTATAAAACCTACCTAAGTATGTAAAACATATAGAAAGGGATCAATATGATTTGTCCAGCATTTGTGTTCACACTATGTGTTCACACTTAGTTGTACCCACAAGGATGTAGTTGTACCAAGATTGCAAATAGTTGTACTTTTGATGTTTTTCAGTTTAATTAGTATTACACTGTCTTAAAACTATATTTAGTAGTTGTACAATTTATTCATGTCAGTCTACCTACGATTAAGAGTATTCTATGTATTCATAACTGAAAAATTTATATTTATATAACTTTTTCATCTCAACTTGGTGATTATTTACAAAGTGAACTTAAAAGTATAAGGAAACACTAGTTTAGATTCTTTCATATCGACCCAAAATATAAATATTTTTTAAAAGTGTACTTTTTACCAACATTAACACATTAAGTATGTCGTTTATTGGTACATACATAGTTAGGTTCAATTTAAAATAATTTTATGCATCTTAAACATTTTTTATCAGTTATACTAATTGTACTAGTATGTCAGTTTTACTAGTTTTACCGGTTTTACCAATTGTACCAGTTTTACCAAACAGATGCCAGTTACGCCTTAAAAATGACAGTTATACCTGTTTCACCCTGCTACGACACATCAAGTTAAATATTAAGCAAACATACATTGTCACATAACATAGAGAGTAGAGGTACAAACAGAAGGTTCCATACATGAATCAAAAATAAACGAAACATTAATCAAACATTACTAGAAACTCCGAATAACAACCATTGTAGTCCTTGTCTCCGCCGCCTTTTATTTTGTGTTCTTTTTCTCTTTGGTGGTCGCTTTTCTCCAGTAGACGCAAACCTTTTAGTTATGTTCCTTCCACCCTTTGTTTTGCATTTTGGCGGAATGATCTGAACATTTTTCACCCAAGCCGGGACGTTCCACTGAGACTTATCCGGTACTAGGAAAATTGTCAGGTAATACGCCATCGCCCACAGCTCCGTCCAATAGTACCTAGAACACAACTCATGCATTTGGATATCTCTAGTTCTATCTTTAGTCTTTAGGTACTCTATGAAAGCGGCCAATGCATGTACACAAGGGTACTTTTGAATATCAAAAAACCTGCAACCACAACTCCTCATAAGAAAATTCACCAAATAAGGCTTCCCGTCGTTGTCAATGACATTGTATTGGAGCTCAAAAGTGTTTAGCTCAGTCATTTTTAGTTTCTCAGCAACCCCCCATAAATCGTGCAAGTAATTCTCCACAAAAGGCACCAATTTATTTGCAACCGAACCAGACACGGCCTCTTTCCGATGTTCATTAAACCATTCAGAGAATTTTCCGATAATCGCATCAAGCATGGGAATTAAGGAGTACCTCCTAACATCTTTGAATACGCTGTTCAATGATTCCACACCGTTGCTAGTGTCTAGGTTGTACCTTTCTCCTGGAAATACACATCTTGCCCATTTTTCAACCTTCGTAGAATCTTCGAGATACTTGGCAGCATTTGGATACCTTATCTTGAAAGAATTGTATTCCACTTCGAACTCAACCACTGTGTATAATCTGCTAACCTCCATGAATCTCCATGCAACAACATCTCTGTTATAATTGGAAGCATGACCTTTCACATTTTGGGACAAATGGTATATACAAAACCCATGATGAGCTTGTGGATACACATTAGCTATGGCTTTGATGAGACTTGCATTTCTGTCAGTCATAAATACTATTTCAGAGGAGTCTCCAATAACGGTTTTCAACATCTTCATAAACCAATTCCAACTCGCATCATTCTCACCGTCAAGAACACCAAACGCTAACGGATAATGATGACGGTTAGGATCTTGAGCCGAGGCAAAAACAAGAACACCACCATATCCGTTCTTTAGAAATGTTGCATCTATACTTAATAACCTTCCTCATGACTTTAAACCCCTCAATGCTAACTCCCAAAGCTATGAACAAGTACATGAATTTCTTATTCTCATCCAAATGCACATATGTTATCGTACCTTGATTAACCGTCTCTAACATGTGCAAATAACAAGGGAGCATTTTATAGCTTTCTTCCGCGGTACCACACAAATCACTAACGGCTTTAACTTTCCCTGTCAATGCCGTCGAGTATGATACATTCAAACCTAATTTGGCCTTCACAAGTTCCATGATAATCTTGGGACGTGGAGTTTCCATCTGTCCTGGATAATCATTATGCAAAAGGGATGCAACTAATTCCGGAGTGCCGCGCCTGTTACTGTTGCTTGAACTTTTACTCGCCCGAGAGCAACTATGCATATTGTTGTGCCGCCAGATAGAGAAAATCTCAGTCTCTGGAACTCTTGTCGCTCGTGAACCCCAACTACATCCTTCTTTAGAACATTTCAACACATAACGATCCTTATCCGACTTCACAATTTTAAACATAAAACAATTAGCAAACGAAGCTCTATCCACCACCTCTTGCAATGCCTTCTTGTTTGGGAATTCGTCAAATTTCCTCAAAGTCAAACCGTCTTCCCATGGGTCTATAACCTGAGAAGGTGTTACAACAGGTGGTTGTTCAACATATTCATCACCTTCTTCACGTCCTAAAGTTTCAGAATCGCCCTCTACACCCTTTCCTTTATCTTTCTCTTCGGATGGAACAATGGCGTTAGCCTCATCATCTCTAGTCTGTTGGTTTTGATAATTCATACCAACAGAACTTTGGTCCACTCTAACAGCCTCATCATCATCATCTTCAATCACTTGCTCAGGCTGTTTCGATACCTTTGTGACATCCACAAACAACACACATCTTCGCTTCTCTGTATCAAAGGACGTCAAATACACATCCAAATCCTCATCATCACAAATCCTACACTTTTCCCTCTCATTCGATTCTGCCACTAGCGGATAGTAGCTCAACTCCAATTTAACGTGGCTCTCAACATATCCAACCTTCTTGTTTATCCTTCCTTTTAGCGTCGACAACGTTATATCACTCGCTTTTGTCTTGATCATAATACTGTTTAAGTTAAATATTTTTTTTCTCTATTTGGTGTGTGTTTGATCATAACCCAATTTTACTAAATGAAACAAAACATCGTTCTATTTTTTTTAAACACTTAACTTTAGATAGACAGAAAATTAATAAAATTTAAATTTTACATATCTTTTAATTTTAATAAACACTACAATGTTGATGAAAAAAATAAAATAAACACTATGATGTTTTACATAGAATATCTTTACAGTTTAAAAAAAAAAAATCTACTTACATGATTAAGCATTATCATAATTTACTAATTCACTTTTTGATTATACTTTTTAGTATATAAAAGTGTACATGATATATATAAGATGTATCTATTATATTTTTTTAGATATACAAAAGTTTTTTGTTTTTCTTCAAATTGCTCTCTAGTAAAAATGAAAGATTTACATTTATGTTTTGAATTTTAGTTTTTGTATACATAACTATTTTTTTATTATGGTTTAGGCTTAAAAATAAGGGACAATTTTAAAAATGCCCCTTTTGGGGAATACATTTTTAAAAATGCCCTAGTGGGGAGAACATTTTTAAATATACCCTTCTTTTTGTACAAAAAGACAGTTATACCCTTAATGATTTAACCTAATTACAAAAACCCTTTTCTCCTTCTCCATCATCTCTTCTCTGCATCGTTTCTCTCTCTCTCTCTCCATCTCTTCTTTCTCTGCATCTCCTATCTATCTGGAGAGCTTCTCTCTCTCTCCATCTCTTCTATCTCTGGATCTCTTCTCTCTCAATACTCGATCTACTTTCTCGATTTGCTTTTCTCTGGATCTCATCTCTCTGGATCTGCTCTCTCTCCATCATCTCTCTGGATCTGCTCTCTCTCATCATCTCTCTGGATCTGCTCTCTCTAGCGTGGTCGTTGGTGGTAGAGCATTTGTCGCCGTCGTCAGTTATGGATTGTTGAATCCATTATTCAGGTTTGTGTTAATTTTGTAGATTCCATATAAAATTTAGGTAAAATTGAATAGATGTTAGTAGGCACAGATTCATTAGGGTATAATCTGAAATTTAGTTTTTGTTTCATAATCTTAGTTTAACAAAAAAAATTACAAACCTTTTAAAAGCATTTTAAATTGATTTTTAATGTGTTTTATACAGTTTGGAATCTTCATAAAGATTATCACGGTTTTCGTAATGGATTGTGGTGTTGTTGGTGGGACTAAAGGCGACTATAAAGCTTATGAGGAATATAGCTTTGTGTCCTACTGTTAAAGAAGTTGTTATCTGTGAAGGATCAATCTCTTGTTTGGTTATAATGTTGAGGTGGGCGATTTCAGGTGTGAGAATTGCAGCTGGAAAAATGTTGGTGGTGTTTGCTTGCATTTGTAAAAGGTTGTGGTGTTGAGCTGTAGTGGTGCTTGTTCTCATCCACGTTCTTGGCTTTATTATTATATAGTTGTCTTCCTTGTTTCCTTACTATATGTAGATTCATATGTATGTGGTTAAGATCTTGGTAAATAATATTATGATCATGATGCTACACGTAAAATACAAAGCAATAAGGTCTTACAAACTTTGAAAACCTATGGAAATAATGTTAAAGTATTTAAAAGGTCTTACAAGACTATTATAAGGTGTTTAAAATGTGTATAAAGATTTTAAAAAGCATTTGAAAGATTTTACAAGCCTTTTATAAAGTTTTTACAAGCCTTTTATAAGGTTGTTAAAAGGTTCTTAGAAGACTTTTAAAAACTTTTTAAAAGTATTTAAAATATTTTACAAGCCTTTTTAAGGTTTTTAAAAGGTTTTAAAAGACTTTTAAAAAGTTTTACAATGCTTTTATAAGGTTTTGTGAAGTATTTAAAAGATTGTAAAACCTTTTAAAACCCTTGTATTTAATGTTTTTTTTTTAAACATTTTAGAACCCTTGTAAATTCTTTTAAAAACCTTTTAAAATCTTTTTAAAAACCTTTTATAATCTTCCTTGTTTCTTAGCTCTATGTAGAAGTATATGTATGTGGTTAAGATCTTGGTAAATGATATTATGATCATGATGCTACACGTAAAATACAAAGTAATAAGGTTCTAAAATGAGTAGAACTCATCAATCTCGAATAAGAACTTTAAAAATTATAAAAACATTATACAAACTTTAAAACCTATAAGAAATCTTGTAAAAGTTTTCAAAATTTTTTACAAAGACTTTAATAAGGTGTTTAAAATGTGTATTAGGGCTTTATAAAGTTTTTAAAAGGTTTTTATAAGGTTTTTATATGGTGTTTATAAGGTTTTATTAAGGTTTTTATAAGGTTTTTATAAGGTTTTTATAAGGTGTATAACTGTATAGTAAGGGTTTAAAAACTAAATAAAAAAGTGTATTAAGGCTTTATAAAGCTTTTAAAAGGTTTTTATAAGGTTTTTATAAGGTTTTTATAAGGTTTTTATAAGGTGTTTATAAGGTTTTTATAAGGTGTTTAAATGTATATTAAGGGTTTAAAAACTAATTAAAAAGTGTTACAATGTTTTTGTAAGGTTTTGTGAAGTATTTAAAAGATTTTACAAGATTTTTGTATAGCTTTTAAAAGTATTTTACCTACTTACAGGTCCATATAAATCTTCCATTCATGTCACAAAGGTAACAAATAGTAACATACATAAGTATTAACACATGAACTTGAGGTTGAAATAACAATGAAAGAAGAACCATCACAACCAAATCAGAAGTAGTTAGCGATTACAAACAATAATTACGGGTTTAATGGAATATATTTCAGACTTTAATTTCACTTCTCCAAAAGCTATGCATACATAAAAGAATTTCGTTTGTTCATTTGTAAAGCCCACTGTAACCTCCTTCTCTTTTGTCCACTTATTAATCTCTACAACGAGCCAACACGTTACATGACGAGGTGAATCTTGATTCTGTTCTCAAGCTTCTTAGAAGTTATGTGTTCAGCAATGCTCAAATCTCCAGCATCGTTAGGACTAATCCACGAGAGCTTATAGCCAATTATGCGACTGTGACATCGAGTGATTCAAAGCTTCAATTTCTGCAGTCAAGAGGATACGATGCACATGTAGCAACACCTGCAATTAAAGAACGAATTAACTAATGCTAGGAGAGAGAGCCAAAACTGGTCTCATCTAGTCCATTACCTCAAATACATGATATATGAGTCTCATCTAGTCCATTTAACACATCAGCTCTTCTAGACAACAAAACCAACATAACAACACCAAACCTATAGCTATCAAGTTTCTCTACAACACTAAGTATCTTTCATTGGTGATGGGCTCTCCTATCAAATTCACTCTTCAACTTCAACTTCCATAATCCACAAACTGAATACAGTTCAAGCATCTATAATAAGTCCTGCGAAAACAAAGCAATATCACAATGAAAACGTGGTCAGTAAATGAATTATAAGGATTTTAAATGGATTTTAAAAGGTATAAGAATAGAAACAACAATGAAAAAATCCTTCAAAATTCAACCACAGATAACAACAAGTACATCGAAGAAGAACAAAATTGGTTGAAAAAGTGATGAGATCTAATCAAGTAGTGATCAGATCTGGTAAACGAACCAGGAAATATGTAATTAAGAAACGAAGGCGATAGAGAGAAGAGACGAAGGGGATGCCTAGAAGAGACGACGGCGATGGAGAGAACAGACGACAGCGATGCCGAGAAGAGACGACGTCGATGCCGAGAAGAGACGACGGCGAGAGTCAACGACGGTGAAGAGACGAAGGCGATACCGAGAAGAGACGACGGCGATGGAGAGAAGAGACGACGGCGATGCCGAGAAGAGACGACGCCGATGCCGAGAAGAGACGAAGGCGAGAGTCGACGACGGCGAGAGTCAACGACGGTGAAGCTTCGAAACGGTGAAACGGCGAAGAAAGGAGAAGAGAAAGGAGAAGAGAAAGGAGAAACTGTGTTTAGGTCATTTAGGAGGGTAAAATTGTCTTAAAAGTCTTTAAGAGGGTATATTTAAAAATGCTTCCCCTATAGGGGTATTTTTAAAAAGAGATACCCCAAGAGGGGTATATCTAAGAAATTCTCTAAAAATAATTAGAATTGAATTTTAAAAGCGTTGGATTATGATTTTTACTTTAATATATTAAATTATGGGTTATATTTAGTATTTTAGAATTTTGTAAAGATTAAAATTTAGAAAATAATAGTGTCAATGATAACCACAAATATTTTCAAAATTAATTAAAATTTAAAATAAATATATATGTAAATAGATTTAAATATTTGAGACAATTGTTGGGTACATGTTGAATAAAACCTACGATTAACCTACGAGATATAACCCGTAAGAAACTGGTAGGAAATTTTTCCTACCAATTTCCTAAACAATTCATTCACAATAGTTTTCGTAGGAAATGGATAGGAACATTTCTTATTAAATACCTACTACGTAATTTCCTATCATATTATGTCGAATTTCCTACGAAATTTTCTACGACTATATTTTAGTAGGATTTCCGTAGGATATTCTTTACGACTTTCTCACGAAAAAGTTTTGTAGGAAATATACTTCCAATTTCCTTCGACATTGGTTTTTCGTAAGAAAATCTTAGATAAATGGTAGCTTACCACTAAATTGGTAGGAAAATTGGTAGGTTTTCGCCTTGTTTTCTTGTAGTGCTCTTCATGTATTGTATTCTAACATACACATATTTTAACCCCAAAAAGCACTAGAGAAGCCATTTAATTCTTCAAAGCAATATTTGTGGGTTCTTAGCCCATTTTGAACCGAATTTAAACAAGTATTTCTACACTCCTCTAAACACTCTTCATGCACCTCTAGCACTTGTAATCAGTCAAATTCCTTTGATTCTAACATATTCTAACCCCAAACAACACTAGAGAAGCCATTTAGTGGGTCAACGCAATGTTTCCGAGTTCTTAGCCAATTTGGGACCAAATTTCAACAAGTCTTTCTCCACACTTCTAAACACTCTTCATGCATCTCTAGCCCTTGTAATCAATAAAATTTATTTTATTCTAACATATTCTAACCCCTAACAACACTAGACAAGTAATTTAGTGGTTTAACGCAATATTTCCTAGTTCTTAGCCCATTTTGGACAAAATTTCGGCAAGTGTTTCTACACACTTCTAAACACTCTTCATGCATCCCTAGAACTTGTAATCAATCAAATTTAATGTATTCTAACCTATTCTAACCCCAAAGAACACTAAACAAGCCATTTAGTGGTTCAACGCAATGTTTCCGAGTACTTACCCCATTTGGGACTGAATTTCAACAAGTCTCTCTCCAAAC